TTTTGGCAATACAAAGGAATGAAGAACTGATACATGCTACCATGTGGATGAACCTTGAAATCATTACGCTAAATAAAAAAGCCAGATACAAAAGGTCACAAATTATATGATTCCATTTATAGAAAATGTTCAGAACAGGCAAATCTATAGAGACAGAAAGTACAACAGATTAGACAGAAAGTGGTTGACAGGGAGTGTGGGGAGAAGGGGAACTTGAGAGTGGTTGTTCACAGGTCCAGGGTTTCATTTTGGGGTAATGGAAATGCTCTGAAATTGAATAATGGTGATGGCTGTTCAATCTTGTGAATATACTAAAAAAAAAAAAAAAAAAAAAAAAAACCCACTTAACTGTATACTTTCAAATGATAAATTTTATGTTATATGAATTACATCTCAATTTGGCTTCTCAAAAACCCCCGAATGGCCTGGCTTTTGTCTTATTTTTTGTATTTGCACCTTACTGAGCAAAAATTTAAAGGAGAGTGCTTTAAAGGTAACAGGCACAGTTCGTTCTAGAAGCGTTCCTCAGCTCCCCGAGTTATCCTTCACCCAGCTTTCTGCTCACTGTAAATCCCCATGGACATACACAGTTGAGTCAAAACCTAAGATGAAAAAATGCTCCCTTTGGGTAATGTTTAGAAGGTTTTTATTTCTATTTTAAACACGAGAATTGTCTGGGTGAGGCTTGTATGATATAGACAATAGAGTTCAACATAAGGGATTTTCAACAGTACGGCAATGCTAGACTTCAGAGACATCTACAGTTAAATACTTTCTTGGGAGGGCAAGAGCAACATGCCACTCTGTTGTGGTCATGAGGGCTCCACCACTTTCTTTTCCACTGCTTTTCACAGCTTCTTTCTAGGAACTTGCTAAATTCTCATCCCCAGACAAATTCTTAAATTGGCCGCTGAGCACAGTTTAAGAATTTATCTCATACACAGCACCTCACACGGTATTTTGTATATAGTAGGCATACAAAATATACAAAAATATTCATGGAATAAAATCGTTCTCTTTCAGAAAGTAGAGGCATGGCATGTGCCCCCGAAGAAGAGCACGGAGATTTGTGAATGCCAATGTCACTGGTCAGAAACCAGGACCCTCAATGCCCACAGGAAGCTGGGAGAGAGCTTTAAATAGATTACTCTTATCCATTAACAAGTAAGGGAACATATAGCTTGTGACCGACCCATTGTTGGCACTAATGAGCATCGCAATGATGTTTCTTTGAAAAAGGAATAAAGAAAGGAACAGACTATCTACTCAATTAACATTAGGTGCTTTCTTATTTTTTAAAGAACTGCCAAGTGTGGTAGTAAAACAGTGCAAGAGTCACATGTATATTAAGTATCGAAAAAAGAAGGAAAAAGAATGTATAATCTTCAGTGGCCAGATGCTGAAACAGATCACAGTTTTTTTGTAAAGCGTTTTTGCCAGTGTTTGACTTAGTTACATTCTCTAGACTATGCACGCAAGCAGGAAAAAAATAATTTGCTTCTCATCGTGACCTGTGCAAAATGAACAAAGGCGCTGATTTTTCCTATTTCTTATTTAGAAAAACAACTCAGGCCTGGACACTGAACTGTACCTTTTCTTTAGTGCACTTTTCAAATGATAATTTCTTCCACTGTCACCATTAAATCTTAATCCATTCCAGCTCCTTGCATGGGTCACTGAGTCTATATGTACTGCTGTTATTTTAAAATGTTTCCCCTTGGTAGGGAAAGAGGGGGAGAAAAGATGCTGAGGGCCAGATGGGCCTCTTCACAGTTCATTTATCAAACCTAATGCATCGGGCTCCACCCTCCTCTCACTCACTACTGCGGTTAAACTTCCATATAATTTGGTAATCATTTTCATTATCAGAGAGTGACCCTAAAGCAGCCTATCCGGAGACACCCAGCCCTTGCAGCTGCTCTTTTTCTGCCTCTTCCTACAGTAGACCTTAAGAACCTCCGAGTTTATTAGCTGCAGGCTGACCTTTGGGCTGCAGAGGTCAAGAAGGGGTCAGATCAGAGGGCTTGCCCAGTTCTTTAAAAGCTATAACAAGCTGTCCATCAGGCAGAGTGGACTGTATAAACAAAGCCAAATCTTCAGAAATTCTGTACCACTTCTGTTAACACTTACCCTGCATTCACACGGCTTCTCCCGAAGTGCTTTGGATCATTCAACTCTGGGGAAGTGAATAGACAGCCCTAATAAGTCTATTTGGAGAGGGTTGTTTACGGGATTACTGGGCTTGGGGAAGGAAACCCACAGCACTCAGATGTGCCTCTAGAATCCCAGGGTTGTGTGACACTGTGACAAACTCAGTTACGCCAAGTCACGCAGAATTGACACTTTCCTCCAAAAGCTAAATTACAGGGAACATATGCTTTCAGTTTAAGAGACTTCAGCGAGTCCCAAACAATGGCTCGGCTCCTGGCCGAGGAGAGAGAGACAAATATTTTAAAACCAAGTTACAAGTTGCACTTAATATAGTCTCCCTAATATCATTACATAAATGAACCTACTGAAGTGGGGGGAACCTTTACTACAACAGACTTATACTGAAGCGACCGCCAGCTGTGGAGTCTCAGGTGACCTAAATTTCTCGAAGCTGTACTCTTCCTAATGCGTTCTCTAACGTGCAATATCAGGTAATTAGAGTCATCTGCATTTAACTTTCAGAGGAAAACATTTCTATTATCTAAATCTGAAGGATCCCCTGATAGCTTTGATGAAAGTAAAATACTGTTAACCCACTGCCTGGCCTTTGGCGAGCGCTAATTATTATCTCTCAAAGCACATTTTTCCTTGTGTAATTCCAAGGTGCACAATAGGCCAACGTCTGAAACACTGGCGGCTCAGTCAGTGCCGCAGTGGGTGTTTTATAACTTTCACCACCACACGCCCGATGGCTACTCGAGGCGATGCCCGATTCCAGACGGCCAGAGGAAGCTTTGATGAGGAAAAGAAAGGTGGATGGTAACTGTCTGTTTATACAGATGATATGGATGAGTCCTTTAGATAGGTCACCGGGATGGGAAACATCAAATGGTGCTGGTGACGGGGCAGGGGGAAGGATTATGGTTATTTAATACTCTGAGGACACTTCCTTCTGAGCTCTCAAGACACCACCCGCTTGGAATCTTCTTTCAGGTGTTTAGTTTTAAGGAGGTCTGCAGAGTGTCAGCTGCTAAGCCCTTTCTTGTCTCCTCCCCTACCACAAAGGACTCGAGAAGTTTTGTTTCAGATGCTAGACTACATCAACTTCAGCTCTGGCACCAGCTCCTGATTAAATTGTTAGCAGTTAAGGGCCAGAAATGCTGAAACCAGACTCCTTTTAAACAGGCCATTTTGGCCACGCTGTCTGATGAGTTGGTGTATAAGGGAATTATTGTTAACAAACCAAACGCACTCAATAGAAGACATCCATTCTCGACATTTCCTCTAGCTGTGCTGTCTTTGGAGGGGTTGGGGGGATGGGAGAGTTTACAGGGGGCTCTCTCTCTCTTTCTCTCTTCCCTTCCTTCCTTCTCTCTCTCCACCCCCCCCCCCAACCTCTTTCTTTATCCCTTTCCTATTTAGTAAGAACACCAGGGAAATTCCCTGGCGGTCCAGTGGTTACAACTCCACATTTTCACTGCCGAGGGCCCGGGTTCACTCCCTAATCAGGGAACTAAGATCCCACAAACCCCACAGCGCAGCCAAAACAAAAACGAAAACAAAAACAAAAGAAATCACCAGGGGAAAAGATATAAAAGGTCAAAGAGAGAGAGAAGCCTCTTAGATGTCCCCTCATGGATATTCCGCTATTTAATAGAATATCCATACTTGAGTGAATATACATATTTAAACTGTAATACAAAGAAAATGTTAAATTATTGAAACTTCAATTGAAAGTCATTTCATGACTGTAGTTGAAACTGTCATTTACCCTGACCACACTACAAAAAAGGGGGCAAGGGGAGAATGTCACTGGGAATTTTAAAATTATGGTTTCAATGCAAGTCTAAATTCAGAGACAATACACATATGTGAAAAAGCAGCTTTCTGATACCCAATTCGAATGGACAGTTCATCCTCTTAACTGTCTCCTTCCTTGGAAAATGCTCCTCTTCAGGCTTGTTCAGGCAAATCTATTTTTATGAGAATTGTTACTAGTAAAGCCATCAATGATTGTAATTCTGTGGCCTGGACTCATCTGGAGGATATCATGGCTATCAATAAATGTTCTTGACTCCCAGGCACACAGAATTTTTAAGCATCGAATGAGACTCTGACACAAAATCCAGCATCATTTTCCTGATTCCTCTACCTCTTGCTTAGAGACAGACGGTAATTCAACAATACACATTATGCATCTGAAGGATAACTAACATTTGAGGGAACTGGTTCCAGGTTTCTACCAACCAACCAGCCGCTGTGCAAAGAAGAGCAGGGTAACGTGGCATTTAGTATGCAAGCACCAATTCTGTAAAACCTGATGGTCTGCAGAAACTTGCTACCAGTTAACAGCTTTCTAACCACAGCTAAGTCCATGTGCAAAGAAACTGGGCTGAAGCCAAAGTCATTTCTATTTGGTCAGTTCTGAAAATGGGGTTGTTGAATAGACTAAGTTCAAGCGATCTGCCTCCCAAGTGATGTAAGAGTACCGTGTGGATTTCCCAAACATCTGCTCGAACTAAACAGCAGTGCTCGTCTTTTAGATGGTTGATTAAAAGGGTTCTCCAACATCAGGTACTTAAATTACCGTACTCTCAAGATGCAAACATTTCTGCTAAATGTTCTACTCGGGGATAAATCATACATGCACACAGATGACATCACAGATCATTACAATTAATGTAGGTACCATGTGTAGGAAAGCTAACTTTGGCTGAAAGCATCTGTAACTTGCTTCTTTTTCGTGGCCCCTCCAATGAGAGGGATGAGACCAGCTGTCAGGAAGGGCTTAGCCAAAGAAAGCTCTTGTTTTCCAGGGACGACAAATCCCATTTCGTAATAAAACAAACCTGGCATGCCATTCCCTCCTCAGGTTCTGGCGAGCGGTGAGTGTGGCAAGGATGGCCGTCAAGATCTCATTCCTTTGTTCTACAGGGGTCCCCTCTCTTCTAACTTCCCGAAGCACAGCATTTGTCTAGAAGAAATGATCCCCCAAAAGAGAAAGCGAAAGTAAAAAAATTAATAATGAAAAAAAGCCCATAAGCAAATAAGGACAGTAAATCAATGGCTTTTTTATTATAGTTCCCCTGCTAACAAATCAATACAATAAATGATGGTCAAAAATGGCCAGCATATATTTTGTGTTTAATCAATGTACATGGCACACAAGGTAAACGCTAAAGCTCCATTGCCTTAAGTAACACATCAAGATACTGTGAGTTCTCGTTCTCATTTTCTCAGTGCACCAACGACTTTTTTATCCTGGGAACTGCCTACCACGAGCTATTATTAGAAATGATTTTCACATACAGTTTACCATGAGTTGTTTCTTTGACTTTCCCTCTCTCTCGTTCCTGCCACCCAGCTAAGGCTTACTGCACTCTTTCTTATTCGAATCATTAATTTCTATTTCCATCCATGCCAGGAGTTTTTTTTTTGAGGGGGGGTTCACTCATTTTCTATGCTTGTTGCAAATCAAGAGCTTGCAAAGAAAGAAACGCCAAGAGCACAAGAATCAGAGAACAGCGTATCTCCATGAATATCTTTCCAGCTTTGAAAATCCACTACGTATTTCGAATAGTAGGTACAGGGATTCTTATACAGAGTAGACTTAGGATTTGAGGAAGAATCATTTATTCTTTGGCTATTGTTGTGGTCCTTAAAAAAAAATTAGGCTCACGGGTGAGTACAAAAACCACTCAAGCAGTCAAAGCACAAGCACGTGACACCCTGTTTAACAAGTAGCATTACATCAAAACTCAAATTTGAAACTGTCATTTCAACTTTATCTACAGCTCACCTCTGTAGGCTCTTTTTTTTTTTTTTCCGGAACGCGGGCCTCTCACTGTTGTGGCCTCTCCCGTTGCGGAACACAGGCTCCGGACGCGCAGGCTCAGCGGCCATGGCTCACGGGCCCAGCCGCTCCGCGGCACGTGGGATCTTCCCGGACCGGGGCATGAACCCGCGTCCCCTGCACAGGCAGGCGGACTCTCAACCACTGCGCCACCAGGGAAGCCCTGTAGGCTCTTTTTATGTGTATTTTAAACATGCAAATGTCTGTGACACTAGGACAACAATTAAGAAAACAATGGAAAGTATTCTACTGGCACTTGAAATTTGAGTGAGCAAATGCCTTTCAAGTTTTAATCACAGAACTTTTCATCACATGTATTTATCTTCACATAACTGGAGGAGAAACCTTTAAGATTTATAAGTGTTGTTTTTCATGTAAAGGTAGGGGGCTTCTTTGGAGATGTTATAACCAAAGCAGTTGCCAAAAGGAATAAAACTGCCACTTCCTCTGTTCTAATTACTCAGTGTATTTCTTATTTAACTGATGTCAATACCTTCATTTACTTGAAAAGCGCACTCAAAATTTGATGCTCATGGATCTTGAAATACTACTTATTTAGTCCTCTACCACATTTTACAGTGTATATTTAATATCTTCATGACAACCTTGAGAAGAGGTGTGGTGAACATTTGCTGTTTGGGTTGCCTCCCACCCATACCCAGTCCTCCTTTCCTATAAGAGCACCCAGATCTCCTTGTGGGGAAGTCTTTTATGTAATCTTAGAAGTGACAGTAATCACTGTCAACCACAGTGTCCTGCTTTCCCCCAACAAGGATGTGGGTCAGGCCAACCTGATTCTCTTTTCCAGGACTTTAGACACTTAAGAATGACAAAGAAAGGGGAAACAAATGTGGAGGCAATTTATCTATTTCCTTAGTTTCTACCACCCATGGTCCTCAAAGTATTCCCGGTTTCCTGAACTTTCTGAGTCCAGATCATTCTTTCTTTTGATACCTTGAGCTATCCAATATCCTTTCAATAAAGTTCCATTTTGTTCAAATTCACCAGAATCTGTTTCTGTTGCTTACAATCAAGCACCCTAACTGATACAAACAGGTAACACTGGAAGTAGTATCTTCACTGTAAAGGAAGGATCCACGATAACCTGACTAGAATTAGCCAGGAAAAAGGACGCTGATCTCTTCCTCCTGGACCCAGAATTACAGCTACTATACTGGCGATATAACCAACTGGATACTCTATGAGCTCCCAGGTCAACATTTTCGGCCCTCCAGCACAGGGAGGAATGCTGCGTTTCTCTAGGCGATTCTATGGCATGAAACCCAGGCTCCCAATAGCTAAAGCAGGGTTGCAAATTCAAATAGCCATTAGGGCCAGAAAGGTAACATGAATGAGTGAGGCAAGGTTCCTTAAGAGGGCATATGCTCTATCTAAAAAGATAGCCACTACTCAGTCCCAGACAACTCTGCCATTCAGAAAAGCTGTTTTGTCAGTGCAAGATTCATGAATTTTCAAAATAAACAAGAAACCTGTTTTTTTTCCAAATGTGAAAACTTGTAATTTTAAAATGCTGGAAGCTAATTTTTTAAATTTTTAGTTTTTATACAAATTTGGTTTATTTTTAAAATTTTTATTGAAGTATAGTTGATTTACAGTGTTGTGTTAGTTTCAGGTATATAGCAAAGTGATTCAGTTATACATATATACATATGTATATATAAATATATATATTCTTTTTTTATATTCTCTTCCGTTACAGGTTATTACAAGATATTGAGTATAGTTCCCTGTGCTATACAGTGGGTCCTTGTTGGTTACCTGTTTTATATATAGTAGTATGTATATTTTAATCCCCAACTCCTCATTCATCCCTCCTCACCCCCTTTCCCCTTTGGTAACCATAAGTTTGTTTTCGATGTCTGTGAGTCTATTTCTGTTTTGTAAAAAAGTTCATTTGTATCTTTTTTTTTTTTAGATTCCACATATAAGCGATATCGTATGATATCTGTCTTTCTCTGTCTGACTTACTTCACTTAGTATGATAATCTCTAGGTCCATCCATGTTGCTGCAAATGGCATTATTTCATTCTTTGGCTGTATTCCACTGTATATATACACCACATCTTCTTTATCCACTTATCTCTCGATGGACACTTAGGTTGCTTCCATGTCTTGGCTATTGAAAATAGTGCTGCCATGAACAGTGGGGTGCATATGTCTTTTCAAATTATGTTTTTCTCCAGATATATGCACTGGATCATATGGCAGCTCTATTTTTAGCTTTTTAAGGAACCTCCATACTGTTCTCCATAGTGGCTGCACCAATTTACATTCCTACCAACAGCGTAGGAGGATTCTTTTTTCTCCACACCCTCTCCAGCATTTATTATTTGTAGACATTTTGATACTGACCATTCTGACTGGTATGAGGTGATACCTCATTGTGGTTTTGATTTGCATTTAATACAATTTTTAAAGGTTACTTTCCATTTACATTTATTACGAAATATTGGCTATATTCCCCATGTTCTACACTACATCCTTGAGCCTATCTTGCACCCAGCAGTTTGTACCTCCCGCTCCCCCATCCCTATATCGCCCCTCCCTCCTCCCAAACTTTTTTTAAATACCATGTGGGCCAAACAAGAAACAACAATGGCTAAACAGAACTCAGGCAGCTGCCAATTTGCGACCTCTAACGTAAAAGATGTCTAATTTCGGAGAGGTCCTGGCATCAACGGGTATTCTAACAACAGCATTGCTCCTTGTCTGTGATACCCCACCTCACGTACTTAAAGTCGGAAGGAACCTCAAAAAGTCATGTAGTTTATCACTATGTCTGCAGGTACATATTATTTTACTTAAAAATGCTTCAAATAGAAAACAAAATACACATCTAGATGGCTCCAAAGACATGATGAAAATAAAATTATTTCTCCATTTGACTGTATTAAAATAACTTTCAAAAAAAGTCATTTATCTCTTCTCTGCCTTTCATATAATTTAAATTTTATCCAGAAGCCCTTGTTTTCCAAGGATCCTGAAGAGCCTCTAAGAGGGGGAGGAGGAAGGATCGAAGAAAGTGAATTTGATGAGGGCAGGGGACCGTGTCTGTTTAGTTACCACTGTATCCCCACTGCTCCCCTAATGACTTTTAATAAATATTTGTCAAATCAGTAATAAAAGCAGGAACTTGAAAAACAAGTATTGCAAAACCAAAGAGCAACGGAAGACTGTCTTCTTTTAGGAAATTACTATCATATAGGCTTAAAACTCATAAAATATATAAACTAAGAGACAGTTATGTGCTCTACCAAGGAGCTCTCTTCACTTCACTAAAGGACTCACTTCCTGGTCTATTTAAATAACTAGCTCCCCTAGTTCTGAGTTTCCCAAACTTTAGTCATTCTAGCTCAGTCTCATAATTCTTGCCATATTTGTATATAAAGTATATAATATTTAATATCAAAGTTATATGTTTACTTCATTCTAGATGGATACTGTTGCTTGCTGAAGGCTCTGAGGCTAAAGCCAGCTTCCTCTTTGTAAAAGAAGACATGAACAAGTACAGGAGAATGTTAGAGACATATCGGTCTAAAAGAAGACCTCCTCGCCACAATTACAGGAACTGAAAAGGAGCTGAAAAGGGAATCACCTTCTCCGAGTTGTCCTCACTATGTGCAGAGTCCGGGAGCGCCACCGAGCATCACCCTGGGTAACACCATGGTCCACATCCCACGCTCTGGATGCACTGCCCTACCTCGATGGTTTTCCAGTACTTCACAGATAAACCTCTTTTCTCCCTAAGTGTATTCTTATATGAAATTCAATATATAAAACAAACTGGAGCAGTTCTCTTTGAAGCTTTGAAGGTATGGAGGACCTGGAGGTTCTCCCTTTGTCGCGGGATATCTCTTCAAAAGCCTTAGGAACTGTGAAACACAATTTGCCAGCCTCAAGCCAAGAGTGTTTAAAATAGTATTCAGGTTATTAAAAGTTTATACATTGCTGGTGGGAATGCAAAAGAGTGTCATTCTGGTAAAGAGTTTGGTAGTTTCTTATAAAGTTACACACACACACACACACACACACACACACACACACACACACACACACTTAATATATCACCAGCAATCCAATTTCTAGGACTTTACCTAAAG